ATCCCAGGGTGAAACCCTAACAGAGCGGACCATGAGGTTGTGGGCTTGCTTGTCCCAGGGAGACAGCAGAGGATGGCAAGTCCATGGAGATGTTGGAGCTCACTCCGTGGTGCCCACCCTAGGTCAACCTAGGAGCCCGGGATGCTTGTTCCCAGCTGATGAGATTGGTGGAAAATGGTTGCAAATGGCCCAACAGTGGCTTTATCATTGACAAATCCAAGCAGAATGAAAATGCATCGTGAGGATGTCTTGGTTTCGTCAAAAAAAAATGCAAATCTGAAAAATGACCCCAAAGCTTCACCTTGCCACCATCAAAGGGCAGTGTTTGGACAGTGATATATAGATATACTACTGTGATATTGCTGGCAGCTATAAAAATAAAAAATGAAGCGCTATGCCCTTCTCAAGAGAAGTGTTTCAACTTTACTGAAATAAGATGTTTTCCCCTTCTTGAAACCTTTCTTCTTGACACAGTCAAGTGCAAGTGCAGGTGGTACAGCCTGGCTCCAGATGATTTGCCAAGCCTGAATTTGTAGACACCCCGTCGACAGCTTTTGTCCAGGAGACCTTTGACAGGAACATTTACTTCTGCAATCCCTCTCCTTCCCCAGGCTCTCCTCTGCAGCTGCTTTCTTCCTATCTACTGTGGATTCATCCCTCCATCCTACCGAGGTGTGGTGAGTGATATTTCCAATAAAACATATGCTCCCAGCAGTGCGTTCTTGGGTTTGAACTTTGCATTCCCTTGAGCAGAGAGGGATATGTATGTCTAGGCTGCTGCTGTAGTTAATGGAGGATGATAAAGCCTTTTAGCTTGTTCTTCATCCCATCCTAAGATGATAGCTGGGTGGAATTCCCACCTGGAGAGCCCTGTCCTGCTTTGCCTACGGACAGAGCCTGGATGACTAGATCTTGCCTTGCAGATCTCCAAAGTGAGATGAGATGACGCCCACACTCGGGACTTTGACACACAATCCAGTTACCCTGGGCAGGACCTGTCTGCAGTGCAGATGTCTCCATGAGCTCAGGTGCAGACTTGCATGGCTGAAGTATTGACAGTTCGTGGGAGGATCTTCCCCCAACCACGTGCATATTCATACTCTGCGAAACACCGCAGTGAAGTCAACTAACTTGGGCTGGCTTGTTGCTAACCCTCAGTGAAGGGGGAGCACAGCAGCATGGCGGTGAAGCATGTGCAGATGGACCATGGAGCAGCCGATGCATCGTGACCCACTTGTGTGTCAGAGCCCACAAAGCCACGATACCAGATTTGCAGCTGGGATAGAGCTAGGATCTTTCCTTGACTCTTGTTGGTCTGCACTGATTGAGCCTATTCGGACCTCGGATGTCTGCACCGGGCTGCCAGGTCAGATCTCCAGCTTACCCGGACTGCAGGCCTTGCCCACAAAGTGCATAAAGTTTGCAGGACCCAGAGCTTGGCGGCATTGCTGCATGAGGCTCCTCTGCACTGTTATTTCACGAGCGTTTAATTCGATCGGCTGCAGTCCTTGCAATCTCAAATTCCACTGAGGTGGGTGGTAAATTCAAATTCCTTTTGGAATACAGCAAATGACATTTTCCTTGCCCAGTGAGTAATCCTCCAGGGATTTGCAGGCGATTATTAAATGCGGGAGCCCTACTGCTTGAGCTCAGGACTTGAAATTTATATGACACGGTAAATTCAGTGATGTTTGAATTGGCTAATGACTGCCAAAACAACTTTACAAAGCTTTGTGAATTAAAATAACTATATTTCTATTTTAATAACAGCTGTGGATTGTAGCACCTGGTCAAGGAGCTGGCTGGGTGCCGTAGGCAGGGCAGCAGAAGGAGCTGGCAAAGGCCGGGATAAAGAGATGGTGTTGCAAGTGGGAAGAGAGGACATGCTGGGACTGGCCTGCGGCAGGAGATGTCACCTTTGCAGCCGCTTGCTTTCCTCTCGGTGCCGCTGCCCTCACACGCACGCTGTAGCAATCCTCAAAGCAAACCCTCTCTCTGCTGTTCCCTCTCAGCGCTACGTCGACGGAGGATTCACCGGCCTGCAGCCTGTTTCCAGCTTGGAGGAAGCCGTGATCACTGTGTCCCCATTCACAGGAGAGCTCGATATCTGTCCACGGGATTGTCCCGCTATCTTCTTCTGTTTCCAGATCTTCAACGGCAGCATTCAGATCTCGATAGAAAACCTCTGCAGGATTAGCTATGCTCTCTTTCCGCCTAGCACCATGGTAAGTCCACTGCGTCTTCTTCCCAGCTTTGTTTTGGTTAAAACAAATTAATGCTGGACCTGCCTTCCCAAGCTTTAAGGTTCAGCTCAATCTCTATCATTAATTAATCCAATTTCAAGGGCAGTGCAATTTTTGGTGGACACTGCTGATGGGTGGCCAGCCTGGGATGGGGCCCACCCTGGTTTGACAGCCTGCAAAGGGCGAGTGCTTTGGTGGTTGGAAACCAGCCTGCGCTTGCTGCTTTCCCAAATGGGCCATCCCAACCCTCCACGGTCAAACAGCCTTGGACAGATCCTGCCGGTGCCTGGACGGAGGGCGCTTTAGTGACCTCAAGTGTTTCTGCTTGCAGGTCTTGAATGACATTTTCTCCCAAGGGTACCAGGACACTGCCCTTTTCCTGTACAGGAACAGTAAGTGTTACCCCAAGACCCGAAGGGCAGAAGCGTGACCCATTGCCCATCGGCATTGCGTGGCCGATGCAACCGGCCAAACATCAGCCCTTTCTTTTCGTGTCTCGCAGATGCCTTTGGCTTAAACTACTTCGACGGCAATTTCCGCTTCGCCAGCATGTGTGGGAAGAATGACTTCGCACCATCCAGCAGGACGTTCACCGGCCTGTGCAAACGGGTACCGCAGCGCCTGGCTCCTTGCTTCCTGCCAGGTAGAGGATTTGGGGTACTGATCTTGGGGTTTGGGGGTGGCTGGGGCTGCTGAGGGCTGCTGCAGTCTTTGAGAGGAGAAGTATTACATTTAAGGCATTACTGAGGTATTTATTATAGTAAATATTTCTATACGTGCAGTAGCCATTTGCAAAGAGACTTTGTAAGAGCAGCTCAAGCTGGATCCTGGCCTGGGCTTCAGTACCTACAGGCTGAGCTGCAGCAAGAGTTGCTGGACGAGAGGAATTATTGCATTCATGGGGTTATTTCTAATTACTGGTCTTTATTTACTTCTGTGTTGTCATTCATGAGCACAGGCTTGGCCCTGTGGAAGAAGGAGCAGGTGACTGGACTGCAGGATCCCCTGTCGAAGTTCCTGTTGCAGCCATACAGGCTGCCAGCTTTTGTCAGGAAGGGGTAAGAACATCTTGACAGAGGCACCAAAGCTGAGCGTGATACAGAAACCAGTGGCTGTGCCCTCAGCCGTGGCGAGACAGCTGAAGGGACGCGGTGCAAGACTAGCACGAGGCACGCAGGCGTCCCTGCAAGCCCAGCGTTGGGGAGTGCAAGGGGCTGTAGCATCCTTCAGATGGCAGCTCCACGGGGAACACACGGGGCAGGCTCCGGGGCGGTGTGGGCTGGTGGCCAGTGCCTCCTTTTCTACGGACCAGGGCAAGCTGATGCACATCTACTGCATAAATAGGCTTAGCGGCATCCCCTTCCTCTGCAGGAGGATTTGGTATTCCCTGAAGGCAAGCTCTCAGGGAGGGCAGGTACGGCTAGCAGGAACACCATAGGATTGCTTGGTTATGAAAAAGAATATTACAGTGTGTATTTACCATTAACACCCTCCCCCTTTTGCTGCATTTACCGGTCATTAAAATCTGCCTGTTTGTTTTGGTTTTGCAGGCTGAAGAAGCTGTGGGGGCTGCTGGAAGGTATCAGCTCCACGGTAAAACGGTTCCAGAAGGTTCTCCAAACCACGGTGCTTGGTTTGGCTACGAGAGCCGTGGCTAGGAGGTGAGGTGCTCGGGGGATGCAAACCCTCAGCAGAGGGAGGGCAGGGTGCAGAGCAGGAAAACCCTGGGGGACCTCACCCATGGGTCACTGATGCTGAATGTGGCTAAAAATTCCAAATCTGGGGTACCCCACATTACAGGTAGCTAATTTTTGTCCCCGTGATATTATTTATTTAGTGACATTCGAAAGAAGCTATGAACTAGCTTAGTGCTGCTTCCCTACGGCAACATATTCTGGTTGCAGAGCATTTATCTGCTGGGCTCTGTCCTAGCAGGACATCAGGCACGTTCACCAAGATCCTGAGAGGTGTTTTGGCACTAAACTCCCAAGGATCCAAGGCATTTAACTTGTCACACTGATAGCTTTTAAGCCGTACCATCCTAAAACCTGCTTGCAAGTTACTTCACCTGCAGCTGGCGAAGAGACTTGCACAGAATGCTTTCATACTGCAGGCAGCTACGCAATTCCTCAGCCCTGAAAAAGCCCCTTCAGTATCAAATGTCCCTGGGGCTACTCGTCCTTGTTGGATCAGTGACCCTGACTGAACTAACCGCCAGCTTCTTCCCGTAGGTAACCATCCTGGCTGGGCCCTGGGGGTCCCCGACATCATGCGACTCTGCTGCCCCGGGGAGTGGTAGGCGAGCTCGTTTCATACTGGGGCACGGCTGCTGCTTTTTATGGAGTATTTTGGGGGTGGTTCTTTCGCTTGGGGAAACCGGCTGATTTTGTTTCCAGTGCTGCTGCTGCTGCAGCCTCCCTGCCCAGGCCTGACCCGCTTTGGCCGAACCGCAGTCTGCGCAGGGGAGCCTGGGCATCTTTACTCGCACGCGGGTACACCCGGCTGCCGGTTTCCCTAGCCACTCCACTTGCTGATCACCAGCAGCATCCCTCCCCCTGCTTTAATGCAGATTACGGGGCAGACATTTGCCAGGAAATGTCACGTTTTAAGTGTTTGCCTCCCACTCAAAAACCTTCAGAAACATTCATCAAACGGAAAACAGGGAGAGGGAGAAGCCTTAGGGAGCATCACGCTGGGCAGGAACTCATTTTTATCCAGTTTCCTGAAGTTGTTTTACCAATTACCTATTCTTGAGCTTCATACATCCTTGGAGGCCTGCTTCTCCTGACAGTGGAGGTAGGCGCACACTTGGACCCCTCTGAATTTGCAGCTGTGGAAAAAGATGCAGAAACCTAAAGATTAACCTCTTCCTACTTCAAAGTACCACAGTCGTGCAGCCTGCATCTCCCAGTGCACCGGGGGAGCTGACAATTCACAAATACATTAGTTCTTTCCATGCAATCTTCTGTAACGCACTGCTATGAACGGTGTACGGTCCAGGCAAACACCTCGTGCCGCTGGTCTGTATGCAGAATGAATTGGCCCTCATCATCCTAAATACAATTTGCACATCCGAGGCTGATGGATTGGCTGTACCCCAGCTGTCTCCCCTGTTTCTTGGTTCCCGATAGGCAACAAATGGATCACAACAGCACAAGCTGTGTATTTGAATAAACAGCTTGTTTAATTGTACAAAGGAAAATGGTACAGAGGGAAGTTTCATCCAAAGCGCCCTGGAGACTGCAGGCATGAATGTGGGGAATAGCTGAAGGCTGCATTGACGTAAACAGATTCAAAGTTAACTATGAATGCTCAGTGAAAGATTAATAGAATATTTTCTGCTATCTCTGGTTGAAATCAATGACCTGGGAATATTTTGCCTGCAATGAGCTTGCTAAAAGAAACCTGGATGCTTATTTGCATTGGATCCATCAAAACCTACTCCCGTCTCCCTTCCCGGATGGATTGACATCTCTCAACTCCTGCAGCCAAAGCCGGGCTGCTCAAAACCAGCTTATGAACCGCGACTGTGCTCCTGCCACAGGTCAAAGTGGAGAGGGCGCAGAGACACCCAGCGCTCCCTGGGCAGGAGCAGAGCCAGTCAGCCCATCCTTTGCTTTTGCTCACATCCTCTGCTTTCCCTCGCAGGCAGACAGCCCCGCTTCTGCGACAGCCCCGCTTCTGCGACAGCCCTTCTACCAGGCTCCTGGTCTTCCTAGCAAGCACCACCACCTCCAGGCAGGATATAACCATTTCGGTCAGCCTCAGGCTGACCCATCCTTACTCAAATGGGAATTAAAATCCCCAAAAGAAAATTCTCATATAGAAATCGGACATGCAAATCCACTAAATTTGTCTGCAAACCTCAGCCACAAACAGGAGCCTGTTTTGAACTACGCCGTGCATCCCACCTGCATGGTGCTTGATCATAAAAAGTTAGTAAAACTTTGAGAACTTTAACAAAAAATAGCCTGCAAGGAACACCCAAACCAAAATGGTCACAGCACAGAGCCCTCCTGCTCCACACCTGCAGAGATGTGCTATGATGTAAGTATTTAATGATTCATCATTCAAATCAGCTGTCTTTTGCTTTATTAATCCCCCCCCTTTCCAAGCAAGCATACCTGATGCTGTCTCTGCATGAGCTTGGAGCTAATAGCAAAAGGAGGCTCTGCCAGAGGCAAGGATAGGGACAAAGTTGGGCATCTGGGCTCTCAAGGAGCCTATTTCCCGCCCCACCACCCCCCCCGACCCAGCTGCAGGAGATCCTGTGGTCAGCCTGAAAGGTTTGAAGGTGGGTCATGGGAATCACCAGGGGTCTGGGGGGGACAGGAGGGGGAGGGTGGCCCTGCCTGTGCTGGTGACATTGCTGCCACAGTGTGCTCTTCAGTGCATCTCGGTGTCTGCAGGCTGGGTTCCAAGTTGCTCTTTCTCTCTTTAATACATGAACTGGGGCCAAAGGCAGCAGTGGGGTCAAAAATGCTCTTCTGTGGCTGGCATGGCCCTAATGGGAGTAAAACCACACTGGTCAATCTGACAGATGCTTGTGGCAGTTCCTGTGAGACAAACTGGATTCAAAGACCTGAGCAGGGCTGCTTCCCTCCCTCCTGTTACCTACAGGGTAATGGGATAAGCAGGTTTTGATATCCTTAAAATATTGCCCTCGTACCGCTGTCCTGTTTCTTGCCCTGGTCTGCGTTGAACTCGGAGATGTGAAGCCTGAGGTGGATGGGATGAGAGTCTGGAGACAGCCCAAGTCAGCAGGAGCCTTCTCTAAAGCTAGATCCCACTGCAGACCTAGCGGGAAGGGGCTGATCCATGCAACTAAGCCAAACGAATACAAATGTGCCCGACCCTGTCTGTGTCTCTGGCTGTTGGCTGCAGGTGCTTTATGCCAGACTGCTTCTAGTCTAGATACCAGGGAGGGCACAACTCGTTGCGCAACTGTCCTGGTAGGCACATGGATCAAAAACCAAATGCTTGTGGTTAACCTGCTAATCGAGCCTGAGCCTTGCTGGTGTGCAGGCTCTGCCACAACAGTAGTCCTTTGGAGATATCCTGACCTGTTCAGGAAAACAGGTATAAGTTGTTTGCAGCTTTATGCCCTTGTTTATTTGGTAACATCAATGATATTATAGTATTGTGCAGATTAACAGTAAAATAGCCTTTTCCTGGCCTAGATCATCAGGGCTTTTCCTTCCCAGACCTGAAAAATCCAATGTGCTTCTCCTCTGGAGACTGAGAGCCCTGACTTACCTCTTGCTTGCTCTCTGGCCTCACAAATGAGTCTTGATTCCTTCCACAGATGACCTTAGGTTGGTGCAAAATGTTGCAGCCCAGCTGCAAACCAGAGACCAAGAGACTCCTTATAGCCCAGAGCCTGCCCAACCTCCAGAGAAACCTGGTTCCTACTATGTTGTTTTCAAAAGCTCCATGCAGTTTGCACTGACGAAGCCTTTAAAAAAGCAAGCATGGAAACAAACTGTACAGCCTAACAGTGTCCTGTGCATTTCTATAGCGGGTCTCTTCCCATAGGTAGAGTTGTTTTGTTTTCAATGGAAATGTCATCTTTGCTTTTATTTTATGTTTTCCAAGCTTTTATTTTTAGATCTGGAATGGTAATGGTCCTGTTCTTTACCCTTTATGTTCCTCATTTGGTGTGGTCCTCGTAGATATAGCAGAACAATATTTGAGTCTTTTTTCACTATTTTTTAATTTATATGGCAACATTTTAAACCATCATCATGCTGGAAAAGCAGTATAATTTTTTCTAAGCTGACAAGTTCTGAAATGTTGAAAGACTCAGAAAGAAAAGGAAAATAAATAATAAAATTAGAAGAAATGTTGCATTGCAGCACATACTTCTTTGTATTCTGCTAGTAACAATAAGACGAACTGGAAGCCGAAATACTGAGGGTTTACCAGTTTTCCATGTCAAAACTGAAATGAGAGAGGGAATTATTTTGCATAGGATTGTAGAAAATGAGAAGTTTTGGATTTAAACCTGCCTTATGCTGCTTAATGATACAGGTAGAGGTTTACCTGCAGCTCTAATAAGCTTTTCTTGCACTTAAGTATTTCCACATGGCTGCACACCAGAGTAACTAAGTAGAAATTGTGATTTGACTGGCACAGCAAACCCAGCTCTAACCATTGAGACACTGTTCCTTCCCTCACCCTTAATGAAATGATGCGTGAGTAGAACCTGTTATTACCTTGCAAGGTGAGTAAAGGGCTTTCTTCATAGAAAGAGCTACTTCTCCAACAAGCCCTTCTGACCTGGCCACAGCCTAAGTCCTCAAACCTCACCCAAAACAAGTTCAGCGTGAGGCTTCACTAACAACCATTGACCCAGGAGGGGACTCCCTCCCATTCCTGATGTTCTCACCTACTGGTGCCTGCAAAAACCCAGACAGCCTCTTTAGCAGCGAGGGCCCTGGGCAAGTGTCACTTAGCTAATGAAAACTGATGGGGTAAAGGAAGTGCTGGTCCTCTACCTTTCTGATCGTGGAGATGGTGTGGGGCTTCCTCTTCCACTTCATCTGCTGCCCAGATGGTCCCGGGATTCTCTTTGGTGACATCCTCAGGATCTGTGGCTCTGGAGCGAAGTACTCTTGTTTCTGGCCTCTGGTGCAGGGTCCTGTCACCTTTTTGACATGATTCATTGGCCAATGAAAGCATAAAGTCCTCATCAAGGTAATTTATACCAAATTCACCTGGTGGGCAGAGAATCCAGTTCACTGCTTGTTGCTCAACTACCAGGTCTCCAGCAATGTGAGGCATGACCAGGGCTGGTTGGAAAATAGGGGGACTGATGACCACAGTGCTAATCTGAGTTGGGTTTCTGGGTCAGGGATTACCAAACATTGCTGCTTTGTGCATCAGGGGGTTATCAGTCTAACACCACACAGGGCACCCGAGCCTACACTTCTGTCTAGGTCCTGGGGACCTGCGTTCCCTGGAAAGCTCTACTATGCGCAGTGTGGCAGAGAAGAGGGGACCTAACATCATCAGAGGGGAAGGGGTGAACAGGGAGCTTCAGGAGAGGCCACAGAGAGGATGGGACTCAAGTAATCCTGGCAATGCCAGGGATGCAGGGATCTCTCTGCCCTGGTCACCCTAGATGCACTGACAGCACCTCTTACCTTCTGTCAGCAAACCATCGTTGCAAGGGAAGCACCCAGCCTACCTGCTCCTCACTCCAAATCACTTACTCAGCCTTTTTAAGAAGGCGACTGTGTCCTGGTAGCCACAGGTATAAAACTGGTCCAGAACCTGCAGGGGGAGGTGGCAGTCAGGGCAGACGGGCCAGCTATATGGGCCTCATAGCTCTGGGTACCTGTAGAAGCAGCTCACTTGATGTGAGGGAAGCTGAAGAATAGACTTCAAGCGGAAGATGTTTCTTTTTGATATTTGTAATATACAATCAGAGAGTTGTAAAGTGAAGAAGGCAGCTGAGCCATCTCTGGGACAGATGTCGTATTCGCCGGCGAAAGGAGATATGGTGATTGTGGTCCGGGACACAAAGTTGGCCCGCCACATGGCGAGTTCCCCATCAATGTACCACTAGGAGAGAAAACAAGGAACCTTGAGCCTTCCTCTTTTCAGAGAGAAGACTGCTGCATCACATGTGCATGCATTTGGGGTTTCTTCCCCACCTAGGCCCAAACTAGAGTGAGGTACTGGGACTACAGAGGTCCCCTTCCAGGGAACAGCCCTGACCGCTGTCCCATGTGCTCCAGGTCTACACCCACCACCTCCTCCCTTCCAGCCAAAAAATTACTCTCTAATGACATTGGGGGAAAGCGCAGCAGAAAGGAGTTGAGCTAACCCCACGGACAGGGTGAGGATGGACACTTGTGACAAGGTCAGGTCTGTCTGCAGTGAGGTCAGATTGTGGGGCACTTGGGTTCAGTTCTTCTCTCTGCAGACACCGTGTGAACACAGCATCAAGCAACTTTGGCGGCAAACATGGGTATAAATGTGCTTAATGCCACCACTGGAGGAAGGACAGTGGCTAGATGGGCTCTTGGCCTGACTTGCGATAGGGTCTCCAGACCAGAAAGCTACTCACCACCCCACGGTACGTAGGAGGTAAAAATCCAAAACAGAGAGGGACAAAGCAGCTGCACAACAGGGCCTGTGGGTGAGATGGAAAGTACGGAGGTGAGCAAAGAGCCACAAAAACCTGTTGCCTCTGGGAATGGTGGCTCATCTGTGAATGCCAAAATGGGAACCCACGGCTGGGTTACTGGGCACCGCTGATTATTGTGGACCAGACCATGTCTGATACCACAGCCAGGGTTGGAGAAGCAGGAAGGTAACCTGTGAAATGCCTCATCTTGCTCCCTGCATCCTCAGGCCCTGTAGATAATTCAGCCAGCAATCAAAAAGGCTGATTTTTATTACCTTCAGCTTGTGACCCCATCTGGCTTGAGAGGGTGGCAAGGACAGAAATCACGGCATGGACTACTGCGAGGCCCCAGGCTTTCCTTGCGGATGCTGTGGCAGTAAGTCCCGTGCAGCATCTCCCCTCGCAGGGTGGCTGTGGCTGCTCTCACCTGAATGAGCTCCTCCCTCGAGGCAAACTCCGAAACCACCACGTTTCTCCAGTCGCGCACACGGGTGAGGATAACGTGCAGCTTTCCAGATACCAGCTCGTGGGCGTTTGTAGGCAGATGCTTGTTTAATAAATCCTTTGTGTCTTGAAAGATTTTTCCTCCAAGGAGACCGCACCATAAAGAGGTTTCAAAAGTACTGAGGAGCTGCCTTATCTCATCTAAAGCAAAGCAAAGCCATCATTTCAGATCCCTTACATTATTATTTATGTACTTGCTGGTCTGCAGTTCCACCTGGTAAAGGGGCATTTTACCATGCTGGTAAATGCTCATAAAGAGCCATTATTTTCTTTAGGGCTGAAGCTCTCATGAGCGGACCCAGATTTTCCAAGGACCTTCAATATTGCAGGAAGCAGAAGTATTTTGTTTTCGTTTCCCATTTCTCTCCATTTCCTCCACAAGACATCTTAAAAATTTTTGGAAATAGGGGAGAAAATTGTCGGGAAGCCTTTGGGCAACATTTCCTCCTGTTGGCTCTGCATCTATGCCCCCTAATGGATTTCTCAGCTCTATGACTATAACTTTCTTCTTATTTCATGCAACAGCAACACTGATCCTCTCCATATTCAATATTTTCTTTCCTCTCTGTGTTTTGGGAATCTACCAACAACCTCAAATGCCTTATTAGGGAGGGCACTTCTGCTTCTTATAGCAGATATGCTTACCGTTACTTCAAATTAAAAAGATGCAATGACTTATTTAATAACTATATCTAGTCTATTTTCTCTGTGCTGGTTAATTCACCCATGTTTTCCACTCTTAAAGAAGTCAATGAAGTAAAATTCTGAGGAATTAACCACTGATTAAGGATAATTAAAAAAAAAAAAAAAGATCTTTTGCAACACCAAAATTTCCAGACATTGGATCTCTTTAGACACAGCATAAATGGAAGCGCATAGCCCTTACCTATACCAGACTCACACAATGTAAGTGTAGCTATAACAGATCCTGAAGATGCCCCATAGATCCTGGATGCAGATTTCAGTATTTCAGGTGACAATTCCTGCAAAGCAGCTGACACTCCAGCTTCATATGGTGCCAAGAAACTGCAACCTCTGAACAGAATAGAGAAAGGTCTTCCCTCGTTTCCATTTAGCTTCATCACCTCTGCTAACACCAAGCACTCAAGCCACAAGAAAGCAGCTGCCCAGGATGGGTTCGGAGGTTTTTTCTACAGCCAGCCGATGCTTAGCTGTGGCTGTTCCCAGCCTGCTCTGTTTCTGACCACACTCTTGCTGTCTTATATCTCTGTTTGATCTCTAAGCCAAACATCCAGTGAAACAATAGCAGCGGGCAGAAGTGGATGACGTGATGTCTTAATACCTAAGACCGCTCATTAAAATAAAATTACTATACTGCAATATGTTTCCAAGGTGTGCGCTTAGCTGCTTAAGTCCCAGGTGATGTGGAGGGCCACGTGTCACACTGATGGGTTGGAAAAGCAGCCTGGGGGCGGTCAGTGGGGCCTCAGAAGTGAGCCCTCCCGAGAGAAAAGCTGCTTCCCCAAGCCACTGGACTGCTTTAGTGGTACCCTGGGGTCCCAGCCTAAGCTTCCAGCCTCTTGGGAGGTAGGAATCAGCAAATATTCCCTGGGATACAAGAGTCTTGCAAGATGCTGCTCAAAACTGTCTTGCCCCATTTGTAACAGGTTACCAAACCCCATCCCAGGGAGCGGAGAAGCTGGAGAAAGTGATTGGATTATTAAAGAAATCGCAACCCAAGTTGTTCTCCTAGTTTCACAATTTCAGGGTTTGAGTTTGCTTACGAAAGAGTGAAAGTACAGAGTCCAGGTAACAACTCGTGGCTTAATCTGCCTCCTAAATGGCTGAGGTTTCAGTAAAGCAACAGGTCAATAAAGAAGTAAAGAGGGGGGAAAAAAAGTCTGACAAACACAGTGATCTACTGATTATCCATCCAGAAATGCAAAGCCTTCTTAGCCTTGCAGCTAGGCAAGACATTGGGAAACTGCTACAGTGAAAAGCAGCAGGGAAAGCTGCGCAAGAGCAGAAAGAGCTGTCCCAGACGAACAATAACAACTTGGACATATTTCTCTGAGATACATGGAAATCTACCCAATGTCTTCAGGTAAAAAGGCTTCCAAACCACCTAGGGGATGCTTCTCTCCCTCTTGCTGTGTGTTGAGGCAGCGCTGGGTGAGTTTTGTGGCTGGATGCAGCCCTGACCTATGCAAGGGGGCTGCAAAGCAACCCTGATGCTCATGTAGCAGCTGTGCTGGACATGCTGGTGCTAACAGGGCTGTGGTCTCCACTAAACCCCCAACCCTTGTCCGAGCACCATCGGCACAGTGTTAATCCAGCCGCAATTCCACATGGGAGCAGTGTATGTCACCACCCAGCTCCACCCAGGAGCCAAGCCGCTAAGCTCCTTGCACACACCTTGCATGAGCATTGCAGATCCCCC